CACAGCCACAGCCACAGCCACAGCCACAGCCACAGCCACAGCCACAGCCACAGCCACAGCCACAGCCACAGCCACAGCCACAGCCACACAGCCAGAGCCACACCCGCACATCCACCCACACCTACACCCACATCCGCATACACATCTACATCCACACCCACCCACACTCACACCCAAAATAGTACATACTATCAGTTACTTTGGTAAATACCCAAGGAAGCTAAAAACTAATGAAGATGGATAATAAAAAGTACATAATGTCAACAATACGTGTCAGCTCCTGTCTGAAGAGTCCTCAATATTTCCCATCCCTGATCATCGTCACAAGAAGAGTCATGCAAACCACGTCTTGGCTAGTCTAAAATGTCGCTGAACCTCATAATGTCTCGTCCATTTGTCTATGTATCGGATTCAGACTAGTCGATAAAATATAAACAATAAAAAAAATGATAAAAATGTGTTGGAATATACAACCCGATAATACTCAATAATACAGGAATACCAAAATCTTATGGCACGTCTTACAAAAGAACTGACGCCTGTTTAAATCCTCTCAGCATCAGAAACACCGTCGTTCACCAACTAATACAAATAGAAACTGATTTTAGAAAATGCGATGAATACTGTCAGACTTCTCTCAGCAACTGTGAATTAGTCAGAAAAATGTTCTGTACCTACCATGACTAGCCTAACTTTTATAATATATCGTCCTTCATTACTGATGCAGAGTATTGTTGAATTCCTTAAACTCACTTGTCTTGTACAACTTTGTGTGACCAATTCTTAGAGTGATACAAAGAATAAGAAAAAACAATGGAAGTAAAATTTTTCAATATTTGCCTAGCTTCTTGATAATGAATTGTGCGCGATAAGATGCATTCAGCACATGGAGAAGATAATAGAACCGACATCATTTTGTTACCTATATTTATCTAAAAGTCAACTAACGTTACAGATAGGCGTCAAAACAATTTTTTGTCATATTTACTGATGTTTTTCGCCGACTGCAACTTTGCTGAAAGAGATTTTTTTTACTGATAACGAATTTCGCCGAATGAATTTATAAGCGAAAACTACTAAATCCAATAAAACTAAAGATACACCGTCTCCAGTAATTGAGGTGTGAGTGTGATAGGAAGTCGGTGTGGGGATGTTAGGACCTGACCCCTATTGTTATTTTATTGTTGTTATAGTTTGTCCACTCATTATATACACGTCCTCCTTTTCTATTTTTTTTCTTTTTTCTGTTTTGTTGTTTTTCTTTTTTTTTTCCTATATTATATTAGAATAAACATTCGGTCAGATATTGCACGTGAAACGAACTCACTGACCTTAATATCTTCTCTCTTTTATTTTTGGGTGCAGTATCTTACAGGGGAGAGGCTTTGGGTGTGAGTGTGTGGTTATGTTGATGGAGGTGTAGGTGTGAACGGGTGCGGGTGGGTACGGGTGTGAGTAAGCAATAAACAGCCACTCCTACACCCACACTCAAACCAAAAGGCAAGTCTGATGGTTCACAAACTTGTCAAATGCATTGTCATGTATCCTCGTAAAAAATTCTAACATTAATGCCTAATAACGAGGGCGCGAAACGGGTCGCCCGGTCCAATAAAACTTTTTTGCCGGGCCGGGCCAGCTCGACACTTTTATTGTCTTTTTTTTCAACTTCTTAGTAAACTATATGCTCATTTTAAGAACTCGAAATTATCATGAATGTTTTATGATAGAAAAAGTATCAAAGCTTCAATCCAGTGACTTGAAAAACAAATAAATGTTATTTTGAATGGTGAAACGAAAACTCGTTTTGGTGTATTTCCAAGTTCATTGATTAAAGCGGCCATTTTCATCAATTAAAATCTGTTACGCTGATTCAAAATCACAGTCGTTGCATTTCTTTCGTTAAAATGTTACTTGCAGTCGATGAATTTGAAGTACGTAAAAAATTAATGTCCGTTTCATCACCAACAATGCTGTGTTCTTCGTGTTTTTGATATAAAACTCGTGATTTTTTGATTTTTGAAGTCTCTGGAAGGTGTGACTAATATAATCAACTCGAATAATTGCTTAACCCAGTCATATTTTTCGTCTACTTGCAAAATTCTATGTTGCAAAAATGGTATTAATTAACGAGTGGGAATGATTCGCAGAAAAATATGCCGAAAATAAGCCGCCACCGAGCATAGGAGCTTTAAATAACACTTTATCTAATCCTCTATGTTTGATTAACGAGTGAATTCATAGCAAGTTTACCACTTTCTGGACAAAAAGGATAATT